TCATAGTTTCAAACCAAAAATCAAATATGGTTAGATGCGCAATAAAATTCTCTATCGAACCTGCTATTCAGCTTTTTGATACTTTCAAATTTTTAAATCCGGCAGGGTCCTTTGTTGGTAAACTTTGTTTTCGAAAATCTAATGAAAGTCGGGTTTTACAAATTTGAAATGTTTGATCAAAAACTGTTTTTCGACTTTTTCTATCTCATTATCAAGTTTAGTGGACGAAATTGTTCGAATATTGAATTTTTTAAATGATTCTAATACATTTTGCAATGTTTTGCCTACAAGAAGATGTGCCTCGGTTTGATTAGCGAAAGCCGCAAGTCTCCACCTCCTTTTATTAAAAGTTTTTCAGACAGGTACATCCTATTTGAAGGGAATAGTAGTCAAATTTTGTTGACTCTTGGTCGTACATAGAACGGATCAAACTGCATGGAAGTATCGCTCTCTCTGTCCTATGGATTTTTAATTTTAATATCAGTCTGGATAATAGACAATATTTATTTTAGATTCTACGAATACCACTTACTTGAAGAGACGCCAAACCTTTTGAGTTGCACCAATTTTCGCAACGGTATTTTCATTATCTTTCTTTCCCAATAAATCGTTAAATGTCTATAGTCTATTTGTGGTAGTCACTATTTGTTTTTCATCTAGTATCGGTACTTTATCCTGATCTTTTTCTTTCTCGGACAGTTTCAGTTTTTTTCCTAAAACATTTTCCAATTCAGTTTTCAATACTTTATTCGCAAGTCTTAATTGTTGCAATTCGACTGGTAATTTGATCGTGAATCGTTCCGACATTGCACTTGCCTTCATTTCTACCACAGTTTCAAGATGATCTTCAGCATTAAACAATTGTTTTCGTATTTTTTCTGTGTCATATTCTAGTTTATTTACTCGATCACGTAACTGTGATTTGATTTGTTCATTTAGAAGAATAGTTCGAAAAGCATAGGCATTTGCGCTTATATAAATTGTAGAATAATCCTTTATTAATTGCAGAAAATCATCACGAATTCTTGCTAATAGAATTCCACGCTCCCCACATTCAATTGTAACATGTCGAACAATTTCATTTAAGCATTCATCATAAATCTCACGTCGTCGTGGACACAAACCAACTTCAAGAGCTTGATCTTCTTTCAATCGTTTGTCAAGATTCTCTTGTAACATGAATACATCCGTTTTCGTAGCCGGTGTTCTCGATACACACAAGACATATTTATGATTGTATTTGTCGATGAATTCGAGTGGTTTAAACAGAAAATCCAAAATATCAGCATTACGGCATGCTTGACTATAAGGGTTAAGAAGTTTTAAGTTGATATCATGTAGTGGTACTGGTAGAATATTTGGCAGAATTGTTGCACGACAGATAGCGGTATACTCTTTATCAGACAAATCTTTGCTGATAATTAAACGGTGAGTTCCATACTTGAGTAAAGCATTTTTTGGAGCTATTATGCTATCGGTATAGTACTTTCGTGGTACATGTTTACAAGTCATCCTTGGATGATGCTTATATCCATAGTTTATAACACATATTGGCGCCACTGCTGCTAAAAGTGATTTCATAATAAATCATAGAGTTTATGGTCAGCAAAATTCTTAAAAGATGACTCATATTATCTGATTTCTTAGTTAAAAATTATGATTCTGCTATCTGCTATAGAATCCTAACATCTTTCTGATCTATTACATCAGAAAAAACCTTTTTAATTTCAAAAACGAAAACGTGCTTATTATCTTTCATGATCTGATCGATAGACAGAAATTTCTGTTGATGTGCGCTATTTTTTTCTTTGTCACATATATGTTTTGGGTGCAGCATGACGATGTCAGTTGATGGAAACATCTTACTTGTAATGTTGATTTTCGGAATGACAGAGTAGCTAGACTTAAGAGTGCATAAACAGATTAAAAATTAAATTATAGATTTTTGAATTTTTTTTCTAAATGTAAGACGAATAATAGTATAAATATATTGAAACTCTAACGTATTGCACAGCGGTACGTCTCAACGATTCTAGATGTTACTCAACATCAACCGTTCTTTCGCTAAAAACTATATGAAAAACGGTCAAAATACACTAAGACTGAAAGCCAGGCCTAAGTCGCTAGTGTCATCGTGAGTTTACGTTGATTGTGGCAACTTAGGCCTAGCTTTCAGTCCTAGCGTATCGTGACCATGAAAAACAAAGTTTCGTTACCGAATGTCACTCCGGTACAGAGTTGACTAATAGAACAGTGGAATAAAGGATATTCGTTTCTTGATGATGATCCGCAAAATCTAAAACTTGTCTTGTAACAGAGCAGATTTGCGACTAAAGCTACTTGTGTAAAAAAATAGTGCTGTTTTGAACTTCTTGTTCAAGGATGCATTCCGATTTATACAGACGGATTGTTATAGTTATTTAGTGATTTTTTGAGTGTAAAGGCGGCCCTGTTTGTAATATGTCGTCTGAGTATCAAACATGCGTTAAATAAACAACTGAAGAAAAAAACTCTTAAAACATGGTCAGCAGTATGGATAAGAGAGAGAGTACATGGAATACTAAATGATCACATTAATTTATTTCATTAGACAAATTTATTGTCATCATGCTATCCATTTCATATTATTCTGAATTATCAAAAAAAAGGTATCTGATCATGTTTTGTTAATCAAAGTAGAATAAGCAAGAGAATAATATCGACTATTATCATAGGCGATGACTATTGCCCTAAAGATATTTTTTATATTTACGACCTTGTCTGCTCTGTCGCGTGCTCTATGAATATTGAATAACAACTCGAGCTTATGACTAACTTTGATCTATTATTATATCTGTGAAATGATCGTTGGTGTTTCAGTAGGCGAGGTGAAATAGAAACATGTTGTCAATTCTGTCTATTCAAACACCGCTGTCTATTTTTTATACGTTTGATTTATATGTATATGTTATGAGACAGGCGTTTCTCTCGTTCATATTGGATAGGTGTTACTATAGTAGGATTAATTTCTTTTTTTAGATGCATCATAATTGATGATCGTAATGCCTAATGACTAGTGAATACTCATATTGATAGATGTATCATTTAATTGATAGGCGGTTAGTTTTACTGTTAGGTACTTTCTTGTAGTGCTGTATTTGTTATAATCGATTAATACATGTTAACACCAAAGCCGACATTGAAACGATACATGTTAAATTTAAATAAAGTATACCAATTTCAGCTTCAATCAATACTAAGCTCAAATAAAATTACTTGTTCACAGATACAAGATCTAATTTAGAATCATAATAGTATTAGACTTCTAGCTAATATTATTAGTTATTAATTAGCTATATCTTTATGTTGGAGGCTTCTTTCGAATAATCAATTGACGTAAAGTAAAGTAAAGTTGATAAATAGTGAAAGATGTTGAAATTAACATCAGTTATAAAATTGAATTATATTCTCTCTTTTACCATCTGCTCTCGTGTATAATTGCTCATTTCCTTAATAAACAGAAAAAGAAATTGAAGGACATACAGCATTAGAAGGAGAAAAAAAAAAGATAATCGCGTCTTTCGACGTATTATGTGAATATTTGTTGTCACGAATGTCTTAGACGAAATAATTATATCACTGTAGCTATTATTGCTCATAAATGAATATCATTATCTGATTTAATTGCACACACGTTTATATATTAAATAACACCCATAGGGAAGAAGATCATTTATTTTTATGGTTTTCTTGATTATGCAATGTAATCACATAAGATAAAAATCTTTTGACTTCTCTTTTTATCATTACTTTTGACAACATTCTCATTTTTATTCTCAATTGTCTTGTTGATATTGTTATAGATTTAAACACTCGATAACATTGTAAATATATTTAATCGATTTGACATCCTTTATTCTACTACTGTCATAAGAAATAATATCTCACCAAAAGATAGCATTTTTAGTTGAGATCGAGAAAAAAATGCAAACAGCATCTGGATTATAGTAAACAAAATAAAATTTAATCAAAAGACCGTTGTACTAATAGATTTTCTACATCCATGTTTTTAATCAAGTATTTCAGTTAAGAAACCAATATTTGTGTAACAAGATTCGATTCTCAACTGAGATACATTTTATATCTGAGATATTATTACCCTGGTAGGGATGATATGGTGTTTTGTTGGCTGTGATTAACTGTTTTATATATCAACCTAAACGGGATAATCCCTCAGATATAAAAATATCTCAATTGAGAATCGAATATTTGATTAGAAGAAATATTGGTTTCTCAACTGAGATACATGGTAAAAATGTGGATTGTATCTCAGTTGAGTCCAAATCAGATTATCATAACCCATTTTAATTCAACAGTTAGTAAAATGATGACGTCAAGTCTTAGAAAATATTTTGATATTAGGAATCAGTTTTTATTATATATTCTGTACATATGGCAACTGTTAACAAAAATATATATATATATTACATTTAAAAGAAAAATCTATACAAATTATACATTAAAACTAAAACTCGAATAATTAGCAGAGAGTCTGGAATGTGTGTCTTAGTAGAAACGGAATGTAAATATTGTATCTATACGAACAAGTCAAATATTAAATAAATAGAACTATGTCACAAAAAAGGAAGGCTAAAAGCACCAACACAAACACAATGGAGTGTTTTTTTTTGAATAAGATTAAAATTTGATTTTTCATATAAATTATTTAATATTGTGCCATACCATAACACATATTCATATTAGTTGGATGATGAAATTGATGGAATATGGGTGTTTCAGTTACCATAAAATGATCGCTGGCACTATCATAAAAATCTGTTAGAAATGTTGTTTCATGGGAAGTTGAATTAGGTAGTAAAGTATTAAAAAGTGTTGTCGCCATTGGAGGAGAAGAATAGTGTGGTATAATTTTGTTCATCGTTGTTGGACTTGTATCGTCAATACTGCTATTTGTATTATCATACGATGATGATATTTGACTGCTTGAACTGCCAATACCAGCATCTTCTTCGTCTTCTTCTTCCTCTTCTTCTTCTTCTTCTTCTTCTTGCTCATCAACGCTATTATTTTCGTCTAAACTTTGTGGTGATAAAATACTCGATGATGATGTTTTATTTTTTTTTAAATTTATAAATTCTAATGGATTTCTTACTCTTGGATGAATTGAACTTAACATGTATGATTCATCATTTGTATAGAGTGTTGAATTATTATTTTGATGATGATAATAATCATTGTTCGTAGGATAATATGGATTATAGGATTGTTGAATGGTGTTATCGAATGAATTTTGATTGTTTAATAGACGTGGATTTAGACACAAAGTAGCAGCAACTAAATTTATTGTATTCTGAGATAAACCACGACATAATAATTGGGCAAAATGAGCATTGTCTGATATTTGTCCACTCGAAACCATTTCTGATAAAGCTTCAATATAATTTTTTGCTAAACGTAATGTTTCTATTTTTGATAATTTTTGTGATAATGAAAAACATGGTATTGTATCACGTAAAATTTCTAATTGTTCATTTAAACCTTTCATACGATCACGTTCACGACCATTTGCTTTTAAACGACGAATTTTAAATCGAGCCACACGAGCTGGTGTCATTTGTTTCTTTTTTGGTCCACGTTTTTTGGGAATTTTTTGTGCTTGCTGTATCGATTTTTGATCATTAATAATAATTGGTGATGAAATAAAAGATTTTTTTGGTCGTTTTAAATTTTGTTGAGGTAATGGTTGATGATATGTAGGTGAATATTTGGTGTGAGTAATCATTTCAGAATTTTCTTTTCCACCAGTGTCCATTTTTTCATATAATTGAATTTCTTGTTCAAGTTTTTTCAATAGACGTTGTTCTTCGTCTTTGGGAATTTTTGTTGGCATTCTAAAATTAGTCAAGGATATTTTAATTATTAATTTTTTTTCTACCCATATTTATTATTAAAATTCATTAAATCTTATCATATTAAACGCGATAAACAAATGCAGATACGTGTTAAAATAAAGCAATTCTAGACGACAATTATAGAACACAGCTCAGGATGGACTGGATTGCAAATTTTTTTGAGCTCATGGACTCAGACTAGATTAGACTCAAACTTTCAAAACTATGAACTGGTCTGGACTCGAAAAAAAGTTTTGGATTCACTTGAATCGAGGAATAATCTATAAAAAACAGATGGTTTTTATCTTGTGGACCGCACATGAACTAGATATTTTTAGTCCATGGACTGGACTGGACTGGACTGAAGTCAGAATTTTGAGTCCATACCGAGCTCTGTTATAGATCACGTTACAGAATCTTTTTGACTGAATGAATGAGACTATAATTATATAACTGAACTAATCTGTAATAACATAGTTGCTTGCCTAGTGGAAAAGCATTCCAAAGATAGTAACATTCATTACTTACGCCTTTGGTATGTTGAATAATGTTGGTAAACTTTATTGATAATTTTGATGTTACTTTATGATGTTTAAGTGCTGTTACTAGGATTAACTGAACATTCACTCTTGTCAAAAGAAAAAGTGTGTTGTTTTCTATTTTATTTCTTAATATATAATGCTCAAGACAATTTTTTCTTTCTGTTTTTATATAGGGAAGAACCAATAGAAAGCGAAACATTTCTCTTTTTCTATTAGTTCAATTTGATTCATTCATCTCTCTATATGTGTCTTCCATTCTTTTCTTTTTTGTTCGATTGGAAAAAAACGTTTTACGGTTGTGAACGTAAAAAGATTTATGGCTATATAGCTAAATATAATGTCAAATAAAACGTAGTATAACGTCGATCATTGGTGTTCGATGCAAATGGGATCTACCGAAGACTCGCTTGAGGTTTAAAATAAAATCAAGAAAATTTTCTTTAATATTAATAAATCTGTCATCATGGTTAGAATTTTGAGTAGAAACAGAAATAGTGATAAACAGTTGCAAAAAATTCTTTGGTGATCTTAGATTCAGTATGATGCTGATATCCAAAGGTGAAGAAATTCATTGGAATATGAGTGGTCTGTAAAACACTTTTTAAGGAAAGAACAATAAACTTTATAAAGTGATACATACAGTAACGTACTTCCTAGAAACATACATAATTTTCCTATCAAGAATTATTCCTTTTTTTATTCCGAATTTTAGGAAAAATACACTGCAGCAAAATATAATTCTCGACAAAGTTGATTATTGTCCTTGATATTTGTTACTGTTGGCAGTCCCATCTTCCCCATCGTGGATTGGAAAAACAGCGATTTGGATGTATAAATTGGCGAAATTTTATGGAATAGTGGTGGATTCTCGTTTCGTCGGAAAATGTTGTATAAAACAAACTTTCATCAATTCACATCAAAGGACAGCATGAGAATGAGGGTGTGGGCGTCTTTTCGATGAAATGAGAACTAGTCTTTTCCTAACCTTTAAAATATTTTTTGTTCTTTTTTACCAAAAAACAACTTTCTCTTTTAAAGTTGTAAATTATGGTTTTAATATCAGTTCTACATGATTTTGACTTGCCATCTGTAATTAACCAACAAGAATTGCCAAGAGCGTTTTTCACACTTTCACTCCTAAACATAAAAAAACGAAAAATTTTTTTTCGAAAAAACGTTTTCTTTTTCTGCCACTATTATTCTATACAAGTGGTCATCTTTAGTGAGGAGTGCTGTACGACGTTGTTAATTTATTAGGGTGCGTATAGTGCATATCAGCGTTATTTTTGATGATTTAATCATTTAAATATCCAAATATTGCTGCTAATTATTAACTTGTCGTTTTATCATAGTCACAATATTTATGCATCTGATATACGTACGCGTAAACAGTTTTTTTAAGCAGACGATGATGGCTGGTGAGCAATGATGGACATTCAACTATTTAATAGATCAAACAAATTTCACTATTTATAAGCGGCAATATCATAACTTATCAACGTATAGAAAGAGACAATGGTGATGCGTGATATTGTATGTAAAAAAAAAGAAAGGGGACGAATAATTGTATTGAGAATTGACTCTTCTATGTATTATTATACGTTTAATTTATAGAACGATGATACTATTAAGATGAAAAGAAAATATCGCGGCGTGTGATTGATCATTTGACAGTTGCCATTCATTGCACCGTATATATTAAATGCTAATTTTAAATTTCTACAAAACATTCTTTTATCACGATTCGTTTCGTGAACACAATTTTTTCTTTAAACTGTATAAACTCGTGTGTTTCTAGTAAAATACAAAGACAAAAGACAAAATCATCAGCATTCATCCAGAAATTCTGTTATCAGATGGTGGATATTTGTAAAAATGGATGTTTTTAGAGAGAATAAATAAAATTGGAGTTCTGAATATTACAGCGCGTGTCTACGTCTGTTTATCAAGTAATAATATGTACAAGCGGATTGTTTAATAACTATTAGATTCAATCGGTATATACTATTCTTCGAGTCTTGATAATTTTTTCAATTATAAAGTGATATACACTAAACAGCGAGTAGAGATCGTAGAAGAAGAGATATCTATTTGTATTTTTAAATTAGTATGAGTACCAATTTCCATCTTTGCCTATTAGCTTAAAAAATATATTATAGGTTGTTATCAAATGTCGATTGTTTCAAGGCCTAATGCGTACACACACACACACATAATTATCATTTATGAAGAGAGGCTGTTGAATAATTGCTTAAGGAAGTCTCAAATTTATCAGATAGATAACTAAATACATATCGTGAATGAGTGAGTTAATTATATTTTATAAAATTACAAGTCATTGAAAAATTTACTATTTTCTTTTTCTCTTCTTTCCATGTCTTTTTTGTTAATATTATTTGTTTTTGAACCATATGAAATGTTATTTCTATTACAACAAAAACACTTGTCGTTATGTTTTGGTACAAAAATACGTTGAGTAGTATCAAAAATTCTAATCATAATGACAGTGTGTATAATTTACCCATGAGGATAATAGAGAACGAAAAAAATATTTAAGAGAGAGAGACACGGAGAGAGAGAGAGTGCGAGAGAGAGAGAGAAAGAAAGAACAAATTAGACCACTGATCAGTTTTCAACAACTACACTTAGAAACACTGTCAATTAGCAACATTTTAGACATGCATCGATCTACAAATGTGAAAAATAATTAATTTTGATTAATTAACATTTAATAAATATTCAGCTCTTCGTAATACAGCAGAATATTGAACTTCACGTCTGTGACGTACGCAGCATTTTTCTAAAGAGTGGGACGAATTTTTTCAAAAAACTGTTTTCTATGTTTTTGGGGACCTGTCAGGATCTCCTTTCTGTTTTTCGAAGGTTTATTATTATAGTAAGTGAAGTCTTACGTAGGGCACATATATCTACAGTAGATAATCTACCATAATCTTTCCAATTTTTAAAACTTAGAATTTGATATTTTTTTTTCGATAACTCAGTACTTAGAACTATCTTTTTTTTCAGCGCGTATCGGAAAATGGAAATCTCTATAAAGGAGGAATCTTCCTGCCCCAGTGTTGGATATGTCGCAGAATTACCATCACATCGTATCAATAGATGGATAATCTATTAGTAACACATCTGTTACTTTCTTGAGATAAAAAACTTTGACTGTCGGCATTTTATTTTTCTCGCCATATCTTACACCACTTACTCTAGTTAACGTTCAAGAACTTTTAATTGGTAATGTTACTTGATTGTTGCACTTGATATTCAAAGAAGAAGCTGGAGATGATACGTGTTGACTACAAAAGTTAAAGAAACAAAAGTTGTAAATGATTTTAAAATATCTTATCTGCCGTTCTTTTTCTTAAATCAAAAGACGTTGCTCAAGTGAGCCAACGTATTGATAATATATTTTTTCTTTTGTTTCACAATGACAATTCACATATCATAAAAAACATAGTGCTAATATTAACTGATATGTCTCTTCATTAAATTTTATATTCACTATGGCATTTTCAGTTAAATTATCTTTGCCAATAAGTTCACTTGATATATTTTTAAAAATTAGAATAATTAAATCGTCACATACACATGCAATTTTAGAGAGATCCATTGAGATTGTCTTAGCATGAGTTAAAAACAACCAGCGAAAAGGTATAAGATTTTTGTGTGTTAATTGCGTACAAGCAAATAATTTGTCACATCACCATTATCACATACTTGTCATCGAATAATGATCAGGATTCATGGCAGTATACTATTTTTTTCTCAACGGAACAAGTTAGCACGCGATGTTATAAGTCAATTTTTCTTTTTCTATACAATTGCACAATCGTTATTATGTAAGAGAAAGAGAGAAACTTAAATAAGCGTTGAACTGTACATAAAATCAATACAACACATACACGCAAATGCTCATTATTTCTAATTGGGCTGATGATATTAAGTCATTCAAAATTTGAATGATTAGGTTTTAAAGTGACCAATAAAATAATTATATTATATTTCTTAAACTAAAGAATATATTCTGATGCAAGAAGAAGAGAGAGAGGAGGTGATATTGCCTGAAGATGTTATTTTTATTTATTATCTCTTACCAAAAATCTTATGAGTGATCGAATATATTTTGACAAGAATAAACAATAACTAGACATAGTATAAGAGGCAATATATCACGTCATTTATTTAGTGGTAGGTATATAATTTTAGAATATCACAAAGTTATGAGATATTTGTTATACATGATTCCAACTAAAGTCAATTGTTAGAGTTCAGTTTCAGATTATTAAGAGTTTTATTCTCATCTTTCACATACGATTTCATTTCTTACAGACTCAAAAGTCGATCTCAATCCTAGTGTGTAGAAACGAACTATGCTGTTTTTTTCCTGTTATCAGATTTTCAAAACAGTAGTGTAAATTTTCAATTTCATTATAACATTCTCAAAT